CCGTTTGTCAAGCCATGCTGTGGCAGGCATCCCACACATAAAGTAGAGGAAGATGGGCACGAATGTTAGGTCAGGGCCAATCTTACCCAGCAAAAAATGGAGGATTGGCAGCAGATGTTAGCTCAGGGCTAATCTTTCTCAAAAAAAAAAAAAGATTGTCCACACAATCCAGGCAAGGATGTGGAGCTACTCGAACTACTAGCAGAAATGTAAATGGTACAGCCAACTGGAAAACAGTTTAGCAGTTTCTTGAAAAGTTAAACATACACCACCATACTACTCACCCAATCCACTCCTAATTTTTACCCAAGAGAAATGAAAAAATACATCCAAAGCCTTGCTCGTGAATGTCCATAAGAGCTTTATCTGTAATAGCCAAAAACTGAAGACAAGCAAATCCATGAACAGCAGAATAAATAAACAAATGAGAGTTAATCCATAGAAAGAAATATCACTCAACAATAAAAAAGAATGAACTATCGATACACGCAACAATATGGATGAATCTCAACTACGCCAAGTGAAGGAAGCCAAACAAGAGGAGTACACACTGTAAGATTCCACTTACACAAAACTCTAAAAAATGAAAACTCACATATAGTAGCTGAAAACACATCAGTGGTTAGCTGGGGATGCAGGTGGGGGAAGGGATGGATCGAAAGGGGTAAGAAGAGCCTTTTAGGAGTGATGAAAATATTGGTTATCTTGATTGTGGAGATGCTTTCGAGGAAGCGTACATAAGTCAAAACCAATCAAATTGTACCTTTTAAATTTGACTAGCTTATTGTATTTCAATTACACCCTACCAAAGTTGTTCAAAAATATTAATGACTAGCTAAACACAGGTCATAAATGCAAAAACAAAAGACCTAGTCTAAAATATGATGCATTTAAAATGAGTACCTTAAAAAGGGAAATAAAGGATAATAGAACTCAAAGCATCTGGGGTTCTTTGGAGTTAAAATAAATCACACAACTATGTTACTATTCATAATACAATTAAAATAACAGCCATGCCACAGACTGGAGTGTAAATGCTACAAACCTTGAGTATGTAAAATAATAATGGCTAATAAAATCTAGTGACTGGAGAAAAGTAAATAGGAGGATATATAAGAATTCTAATTTCCAAATATTTTGTGCAGGGAATTAATTCAAACTTTCCAAAATGGAAACAAGAAGGAAGAGGAGGAGGGGAAGAGGAAGGAGAAGAATTATTCTCATAATAAGTAAAATAAGATTATAGTATAATTTAAATTCAATTTTTTATTAACAAAAACATTTATCAGGGGCTGGCCCCAGGGTGCAGCGGTTAAGTGCGCACGTTCCGATTCGGCGGCCCGGGGTTCGCCCGTTGGGATCCCGGGTGCAGACATGGCACCACTTGGCAAGCCATGCTGTGGTAGGGGTCCCACACATAAAATAGAGGAAGATGGGCATGGATGTTAGCTCAGGGCCAGTCTTCCTCAGCAAAAAGAGGAGGATTGGTGGAAGATGTTAGCTCAGGGCTAATCTTCCTCAAAAAAACAAAAAAAAACCCCAAAACAACAAAACCAAATTTATCAGTCGCAGATGATGCAACAAAGATTTGAGTGCAAGTGGTGTATTTGGGGGCCAAATTCAAGGAAACACTGGTAGAAGACTGGGGAAGTGAAATAGCGAAGGGAAGGAAGCCAATAAAGAATATATTGCCAGGGAAGTTACTACTGTGCCTGAGTGGTTAAAGTTCCATGCGCTCTGCTTCAGTGGTCCGGGTTCACAGGTTCAGATCCTGGCATGGACCTGCTCCACTCATCAGCCGTGCTGTGGAGGCATCCCACATACAAAATAGAGAAAGACTGGCACAGATGTTAGCTCAGGGCTAATCTTCCTCAAGCAAAAAAAAAAAAAAAAGAGGAGGATTGGCAATAGCAATGGATGTCAGCTCAGGGCCACTCTTCCTTACCAATAAACCCTGCAAAAAACAGTTTTAAACATTTAATAGACCAAAGCTGGTATCAGCCCTTTCATTTTTCCTTCAACTCTGTATGCTTGCAATCATTTCTAATAACTATAATTTAGACGCAGGAGAATTCAATTTCCTAATATGACATTCAGACTCGCTTTGTCACTAGACCCAGAGTAGCAATCCTAAAAAAAGGAAATGCTATTATTTTGATAAACACCAATTGCTCAGTAAAGAGACAGGCACAGGCATTCCCAGGAGTCTCTTTATAGTCATAGCCTAAGAAGACACATCTATACTCATGATTTTGACCATCACCTCCAGGCGTCTCTGTGGACTGCGGAGTTGAGGAACGGTGGTAAAACATTCTCACCCAACAGATCAAGTGTATGAGAATGCACCTCCCCCCTCAAAATGATCCATTCATATTAGGTTGTTGAATCATTTCTGGTATGAGGGCTTTGTTTGGTTAATGGTAGGTCTCAATGAGGGCGAAAAGATACATTACAGTTGTTTTAAAATGTACACCAGGAGGACAATTTTCTTGATGCTTTGACCCAGGCTGGCAGTACCATTTTCCAGCTGGACGCAGAGACAATGTATTTTTCCAAAGATGGAATGATTCTATTGAAATGACATGAAAATGTTATGGCTAGAATCCTGGATGGATGTGTGGTTTTCAATAAAATATTAATGAAAAAATCCTTGTTAAAATGATACATTTCCCTTGGCATCATTGGAGCGTTTGAACCCAAAGCGATATCTGGATTTTTCACTTACTTGAGCCAATACATTATTTTTTTTTTATTCTGTACTAGTTTGAGTTGTGTTTGCTGTCATCTGCAATTTAAAGAGTTTTAACCAATATAGAAATTGGTACCAGGAGTGGGGTGGTTTCCAGGCAGCTGAAATCCCGCAAATATCTACAACAGAGCTGTAAGGAACAGATTATGGAGACAGCATTTAAATAGAAAGGAGCTTAAACATGATCTGACCCAACCATGTCATTTTATGGGCAAGTAAATAAATCTCCAAGAAATTAAATGAATCAATATACTTTCAATGAATGAGACTTTATATGATAGGTTGTTATGGCCCAGGACCCTGAACATTTACAGGAAAAATTGTTTTTGAGAACAACACTCAAAATCAATACAGTGTGTTGTGAAGCTTTGAGGACAGGTATTGGTCCCAGTTCATGATGCAACAGAATCACTTCAAGGAGCTTTGTGTCTAGTGGGGAAGGCAGTCAAAAAACTAATAGTTTTACCCAAATAAGTATTGTGACTGTTATAATACATACTGCAAAGAAAAAGTGCAGGATGATATGAGGGGATATAAGAGGAGGACCTGCTCTGATATGGAGGCCCAGATGAGGCTTCCATAAGGAAATGACGTTTCAATGGAGACCTGAAGGATAGGAGAAATTTGCCAGGTGAATTTGCAGGGTGGAGGATTCCAGGCATGTGCAAAGCGCCTGTGGTGGGAAAGCTGGGCTTCTTAAAGGAAGAGAAATCAAACCAGCCTAAGTGGAAGTTAGTGATGTGGGAAAGAGTAGCTCCAGAAGAGGGTAGGAAGATAGGTAGGACGTAGATGACAGAGGGACTTTCTGAGATGTTTGGAAAGGAGCTTGGATATTATCCTAAGAGCAAAGGGGAAGCACTGAAGGGCCTTACACAGGCTGAGGGTGAGTTATGGCTTTGGGGGGGTGGCTAGAGTAAATGCAGAGATAAGAGAAGCATTAGAACAACAACCCAGGGATCCAGAGAGTAAAGGTTGCATGGAGACGACAGTGCAGATAAACAGAGGAAGCTGACTCAGTCAATATTCAGGAGGTAGGAGCAATACATTCTCTTTTTTTATGTACTAGTTTGAGTTGTGTTTGCTGTCACTTGCAATTCAAAGGGTTTTAACTACTACAGAAGTAGGCACCAGGAGTGGGGTACCAGAAGAGGAGAAGTAACAGTTTAGCGATGAAGGCGATGTGAAATTCGGGGAGAGGGAGGAGACAAGAGCAATGGGCAGGTTTCCGGGATAAGGCAGGAGGTGGATGTTGGCGACATTTCCTGACTGATGGAACAATGGAGGAGGAGAAGGAAGGGGAACTGAGACTGACGAAGGAGAGGAGGGCTACTTCTGGGCTGTGTGTGAGCACAGGGTCTTGATTGGGAAGCAAACACACAGGATTGCAGTGAGAATGGTAAAACTAGCGAAGCCAGAGATTCTCAAACTTTTCTACCTACGTTCATCTAAAAAGACAGCAGGCAGAACCCCAGCACATGGACCCTCTGGTAAGTAAACATCTGACACCATGGCAGACTAGTAAGTTGCCATTCCTTCAATCTAATAGTCTTTAAAAATCCATTAGGCATTTATTTGGTGATGGTAGGGGGCCTCAGACAAAGAACTTTTAAAATTTTGAAATTCCATGTTTTTGTGTTTATTCCTCACAACAATCTATGAGGAGGGTCACCATCAGCCCTGTTCTGGCAGGTGGGAAGTCTGAAGTGCAAAGAGGGTCAACAAGGTTGTCCCGAACATGGATGGACCTTGAGGGTATTATGCTAAGCGAAATACGTCAGACAGAGAAAGACAGACACCGTATGATTTCACTCATGTGTGGAAGATAAACAAACAAACAAAGAAACATATAGATAAGGAGAACAGATTAGTGGTTACCAGAGGGGAAGAGAGTAGGGGGAGGGCTAAAAGGGTAAGGGGGCACACATGTATGCTGACGGATACAGAATATTGATGGTGAACACGATGCAGCCTATACAGAAGCTGATATATAATAATGCATACTTGAAATTTACACAGTCTTATAAGCCAATATGACCTCAATAAAATAATTCTAAAAAATAAGGCTGTCTGGGTCACACAGTCAGAAAATGGCAAAAGTAGGGTTTAAACTCAAATTTATCTAAATGTAGTGACTGAATCCTCACTAAATCTCACATAATAATCTGATGTGGGTTCCCAGTTATTCCAGAAAACCATATCCAAATACCTTAGCATTTTAAAATGTTTTAAAATATAAGGAGGAAACTCAGTAAATGAACTGAGTACCTTGTGCTTATGTGAAAAAGAGAGTAGGGATCAGGGAAAAAACCTTTATATGGATTCAAAACTCTTGGTATGGTTCAGGTAGTTTTGGTAAGTGTATGAGGTGACAAGTCAGGTTCAATTTTGCTAAATAAAGTGTAGGAATGTGGAGAACTAATTTCCACATTCTCTAAATTCCCTCATACTATCTCAAACATAAAACACCAAAACCAAATAGCATAATTTACAGAATGACATTTTTATAAATAAGGCACATTTTTAATGATTTTTAAAATTAAGCAAAGTAGTTGCTAAACCAAACATTTCTTTACTAGTTGGAAGGATTTAACTATTACTACTTAACATTATTAATTTTAAAACTTGCAATCTTATACAGGAAAGGAAGCACTTTCAAAATAACACCAAAAGACGTATCTTTTTTTAAAGCTTTTAATAAAAAAAAGGAAAACAGGAGACGGCATTTAAAAAGACAAGACAGTAATTAAATCATAATATTTATGTTGAATTTTCTGTAATAATTCCTTTTCTTTGGAGTATTCTTTTTTCACACTCATTTCTTCCCAAAGAAAAATTACTAAAAAAAAGTTTTCCAACATAAAAAATGCATTCAGGGTCTCCTCGGGAGCTATAAACAATGGGTGCACTTTTCAGTGACAACACAAACACGTAAAACTGATGAAGCAGAAATTGCACCTGATTCTTACATGTTTATGCATAAGGTGATACAAACACAAGTGCTTTATCTTGAAGACTCAAGAGAATATTTCCAGTTCTGACTTGTGAAGAGCACAAACTCGGATAAATTTCTCTATCTGTTTGCCAGAGGAATCTTATCAGCTTGAAATACCACCACCGCAACTGTGAAACGGTTTGACCCAAGGTTTCACTACCTCTAATTCTTCAGGTCACAGAGCACGTTGAATGCTGGCTCCTTCTTTAAAAAGCACGTGGGGGGTGTGTGTGTTTCTATGTGTGTGTTGTGGTTTTCCTTTTTATTTTTGGAAACTTCTTATCATAAAGATTCGATCTAAGGGTTAGAACTTAGGTCTGCCCGCACAGGGATTCTCAAATTCTGTCACCCTGCCACTAATGCCGAGCCTCTTGGTACCACTCAGAAGTTAACATCAAAGACAGGAAGGCAAAGGCAAAAGTGAAAAAGAAGATGGAAAAGTAGGAGAGAAACAGAAAAACATAAGAAAGCTTGCTTACCGTACTATTAAATAAAGATATAATGATTTGTACTCCCATGGAATTAAACATATTTCTGAATTCAACATATTTCTAAATTCAGTCATGAAATCATGTTCCTTTTAATTTATCCAACATGTGCAATTTATCTTTTTGGTATAAAATCAGGCAATATTTATACATAATCTGAATTTGTATAAATGTTGTCCTGTCTTCAGGGTGGGTTTGAGTGATCAGTTCACTACTGGATCACTATTTTGTGACTGTGAACAAGGTTTTGTATGGTTTGCTTGTTTTATGAACGCGATAATTGTGAGAAGATAAATACTCTCAAACCTCTATGAATCCATATAAATATCCATTTCAATAATAAACTCAGTAAAAGTCACAACTTGCAATGGAAGCACTAAATATGTAATAGAAATTTCAAATAAATAGTAGAGCTTGGAGCATTATGCCCTAAATGCTAAATTGTCATTCTGGAAGTTGAAGGAAAACACAAATAGATTTTCTAGCCAGTTAATTTTTTAAATATTGGAATTTTCAACATAAGTCACAATTTCTGGGATTTACAATGGAAAAAAAAACTCAGTGAGGGGCTGGCCCGGTGGCGCATCCGTTAAGTGCACACGTTCCGCTTCGGCGGCCCGGGGTTCGCCAATTCAGATCTCACGTGCGGGCACGGGATCACATGGCAAGCCATGGTGTGGTAGGCATCCCACATATAAAGTAGAGGAAGATGGGCACGGATGTTAGCTCAGGGCCAGTCTTCCTCAGAAAAAAGAGGAGAATTGGCAGATGTTAGCTCAGGGCTAATCTTCCTCAGAGGGAAAAAAAACAAAAACCTCAGCGAGAAAATATTGTCTGTATTTCTAGTGACCCTGCTATTGAAAGTCTCATCTCAATGTATATAAAAACACTGTCACATTCTGCTATTAGAAAGTGTTCTTTCATTCTCCAATGGAAGTCTGTAGTTCTATGTATTAAACGAAATCTTAAAGGAAATGAGAGGAGGAGAGGAGAGGAGAGGACAGGAGAAGGCAGACAACCAGTCTCATGCTCTTCCCATATACATTCAATGTGGCAGATGGGGCAACACAACCTTTGGCAAACTTCAGACCACAGACTGAATGTTTTAGGAGTCCACTGAACTAAAATTTGTGGTTCTCAGATTTAAAGGTGCTAATATAGTAGTTTTCTGGAAATTATCAAAGGCAGAGAAAATACTGCCTCATGGTAACATCCTAAATATAGAAAATAATAAGCACACTCAGGCAGCAGGGATTGGAAGAGCAAATTTCCTCTAAATTCTCCACCAAACTCACCTAAAATTTCAGGATACAGTGATGGAATTCCAAGGCAGAACACCACACCAAATTCTAAGGTTCCACAGTCTCAGAATGCATCATTCTAGAATGTTCTAGAGTTCTATCACAGACCTTTGCTGGAAATCCTATTCTGCATGTTCAGACCAGAACCAATAGTTGAGATTGTATGTAAACCTGGCTCTCATAAAAGAGAAGTCATTGCTGTATTCAGTCTTTACAGCAGATTTTTTTGTGGGACTCCCCAAAGGAGGAAAGGAACTTCTTCCGGTCTGTGAGCCATCACTAAATGAGTGACATTTGTGGAGTTTACTGGCTATGCTGAGAAAACCAGAATAGAAGTCAGGGAATCATGTTCACATCCTGGCTCTTTCACTAAAACCCTAGTTGTAGGTATGTAGGATGCATTTTCCCCTATTCAAAAGACAATCTCAAAATTATCTCATATCCTTTAGATATAAAATAGTGAATGACATCACTGCTGGTGGGGAAATGAGGAAACATAAAATACAACAGCAAAGATAGGAGTTTCACATCATATTGGTAGTTTCCTTAACAAAAATAACAAACCACAGGCCACCCAACTGATCAAAAGGAAAGTATGAGTTATTACCCTAACATTTTATATTTAAATTTCTTACTACCAGAACAGTGCTCCACACCAATATTGATTGATATCTATACATTTCTTTGTAGTGCTGAGATTTGCATATATTTTTTCAGGGTAAGACTTTTTCTGCTAATATAGAATCTATAATATCCTACTGGATCCCAATATACAGGATACCATATTTGCATTAACAAAATATTTTTCATTTTATACTTACAGGTCACCGTCTATCTAGGATGAAAACTATTTAATATTTTTGTTTCCAAAAATTTCTCTGTAAAATAGGATGCATCTTAAACATGCCTGTATGTCTTATAGAACAGCAATTACAGTGGCTATGTTTGTTTCTCTGTGTTACAACTTCTTTATTTGCCCAATGAAGATGATACATGCCCCTGCTAAGTTCACTAGGCTGTTGCAAACATTATGGAGATCGTTGCTACGTAAGTTTTTGAGATAAATAAAGCATTATGCTAAATGCCCTTCTGCTGATACCAGCTACGTGAGCACCTAGGGATTAAGTCAGATCCCTCTGGGGAACACAATATAGAACTTCCTCTTCTGTAGCTAGGTGATAAGACGTGCCTGGCTCCTTGGCTAACAGCTGGGCAACCCTAGAGAAGGAAAAAACACTAGAGTCCTTTCTAAGGCTGGTAGGAAGTTGAATTTTCTCGCCAAGAGAATTGGCTGAACTATTTATTGTGTACACATTCAGTTCGAACTTGGCCTTTAACTTCCACCTATTGCCCAAGAGTTTAAAGAAGAGAGAAGGCCACACCTACTGATGATGTAAGACAGACAATGTTTTTGTCTGTGGGCAAACACAAAATCGTATCTCTGCCAAACACACTCCTTAGGTTTAACACAATTATTGAATTTGCTGTCAGAAGTTATGACTGCATAGACATTTCTTATGATTTAGTCTTCCACAGATCTAAACAATTTTTCTTAAAAAAACTCCCCTGGACATGCTTCATCCTTTACCACTGCCCGATTGGCTGAGATCTGAATGCTTTTCCCAGATGTAGTTTAAATAAAGTGCTTTAAACGGAATCATCTGTCTAACTTTTCAGTCTCCTACATAAAAATCTCAGCATAGGGGCCAGCTTTTACTCAGACTGCCTGTTTTAGACGTGTTACAATGGAATAGACAACAAGCGAACAAATACAAAAGTGGGGGGGGGGCGGAAAGGTTGGAAGGAACTACGTTAAAATAACAATGTTTTTCACTGGTTGGTAGGATTACGGCTAATGTAATCTTGATTTTGGTCCAATGACCTATATTCTCTACAATTTTTAAAAATTTGTGTGTTTGTTTTACAACAAGCACGTATTACTTTTACAACAAGGGTATGGGGAGCCGATTGCATAGACAGAGTCTCAGGAATACTAGATAAATATACCACGTCAGATGCCACTGACATTGTTTCAGACACTTAACAGGAATTGGAAAGCTCACAAAAGTTCCTTTTCATAGCTAGCTCAACCTGCTTGAATAATGTTAAATGAGTAATAATACAATTTTTAAAAAAACAGAGAGACAAATAGCATCTTAGAAAAAATTAAAGCATATTTCCTTTCAGGAGCAACTAATTAGCAACATTTAACAAGGCTTTTTAAACTCAATTGTCATAGAGCACCATTAAATATTCACACAAAAGAGATCCAGGCGGCTCAAAGATGAATATTTCCTCGTTCATGAGATGTCTAATTGACTCGCAACCATATGAAATATTCAGTGCATCTGGTTGGGGCCGACACGGATGATGACGTGCTTCTCATAAGCCCTTTTCATTGTTTTCTCAATTTGCTTCAGAAATACCTGTGGGATTCGTCCACATAAAGTATGCACAGTCTCCAGAAACTTCAGCTGAAGAGGGTAATACATAGATTGAAAGAGATTGTCTTGAAAGGGAAACTGAAAGATGATTAAAAAAAAAAGAAAGAAAAAGTTTAGTTTAGTGACTGAAATGCCATTTAAAATGCAAATAACTTTTACTAAGAATTGAAACAGGGAGTTACTGCTTAGCTGGTATAGGTTTGCATGTTTTTAGACACAGTGGAAAGGACCTTGGAGTTCTGAGGTCCCAGTCCTGACTCAACCCCAGGCAATCTTTTCCCTCTCTGGGCCTCAGTTTCTTTACCTCTAAACAAAAGAAGCCTTATTTGGATCCTTCAAGTTCTTAAATTCTAAAAGCAAAGTATATCTCTAAGGATAGAATATTCTAGAATGTTCTTGCTGATTAGAAGCAAGACTCATGTAGATACTTGAAATCTACTACAATAAATTACTGAATTTTTCATATTTTTTGCCTATCAATCTTAATGAAGAAACTTTAGGGTATGTCTACAGTAATCTCATGAAGTCCGGAGTTAGCAATTACTAGTGAAATTTATCATCAGTGAACTTTATTTTAATAATTCAGGTACCAAACACTAGATGTTGGTTTTTTCCCACTTAATATTGGGCTTTTTAAATTAATTAATTTTTTTTCAGGAAGATTAGCCCTGAGCTAACTGCTGACAATCCTCCTCTTTTTACTGAGGAAGACTGGCCCTGAGCTAACATCCATGCCCATCTTCCTCTTCTTTATATGTGGGATGCCTACCACAGCATGGCATGCCAAGCAGTGCCATGTCTGCACCTGGGATCCGAATCGGCGAACCCCGGGCCGCCAAAGCAGAACGTGCAAACTTAACTGCTGCGCGACCAGGCCGGTCTTGGGCTTTTTAAAAAAAAATTCTCTTGTTTTTCCAAGGAATGTGTCCATGAGCAGTATTTTCCAAAATAAATCTTTCGGACCACTCACTTATGAGCGTGTGTCCAAGTTTTATTACAATCTTGTAGAAAGGGTAAAGGCCTCTAGTGGGTCTAGTCAAAGCTTCATTGTTGGCAAGGACATTTTATACAAAAAGATTACAGAAAAAAGGAAGAAAAGATTGGTGAAAGGTCAGTATACTCTTGCCTGACAGCAGGGTGGGTGGGCGTCTGGTTTCCTAGAACAAGTCTTAATCCCTTTAAAGTTCATCAGAAATATTATCTAAGTATGTTTATCAGAAATGTGAATTTCTTCCCAGAAGGAGATTATGCATTATGTAATGCAAAAAGGTTCTGTCCATGTTTGGGATACTTTTTCCTTCACAGCACAATTTAGACCATTGACAAACTCCTTTTCAGTGAAACAACTTCCACCAATTATTGAGCACCACCACATGTTAGGTGCAGTCGTCAAAATTCAAAGATCATCATTTTGTTGAATTCTCACAATGCTTTTATGAGGTAGATAATATTATCTCCATTTCACAGATGAGAAAACTGAGGCCCAGTAAGGTTAGAGCACGGATTTAATGACATTACCAGAAAGTGACAAAACTGGGACCTGAATCCAGGTCCGTGGATCCCCAAAGCCAAACCCTGACCCACCACACTGTGGTGCACAGCGCTGTGGAAAGTGGGGGAGCACATCTTTCACGATGGAGTCTGTCTATATTTACTCACCTTTCAGGATGGGGTAGTGACATTTCTGATGGAAATGCTTGAATAAAACCTGTCTTTTTAGACTCATCTGAGGAACATCATTGAGCGCCTTAGGCAGGATCACCTATGAAGCATTACTTGGTCCTCTTTCTGATCCCCCAGAAGACAAACAAGACGTGTTGTAACTCAAGAACCACAGTTGCTCAATTCCACACCAGGGCCAACAGATCCCGAGAGAAACCCGAGAGTGGCTCTGATGCACATATATCTGCTGCATACTTCTTTAACTTCCATTTGTACCCCAGAATGGGTTTGCCCCTGGAGTCAGTGTTTGAATATCTAAATGTGATGATATCACTAAGTACAGAACAAATTTTCAGTGCAATTAACTCACCTGGCCTTTGAAAACCAACAGCAGGAAACGCCGAAGAGAAGTGTTAGCTCATGGGCATGCTGAACACCTTCCCTGCACAGAGGACAACTCTGGGAATTCCAGGGTTGGAATTCTCTGGGATTCTCCTTAGCAAAATGCACATTTTCATACATGCCAAAATATGTTACTATGTCACAGGATTCACCCCTACCTCTTGTCAAAGCCCCTTCATGAATCCACGCGGGTCCCCAGATCCTTAGGAAGAAAACCTCTAATAAAGTCTACGTACTTTACGTCAGGGGGTGGCAAACTTTTGCTGTAAATTGCTAAATAATAAACATTTTAGACTTTGTGGGCCACACAGTCTGTCACAGCTCCTCATCTCTGCCGCTGTAGCACGGAAGCAGCCACAGACAACGCATAAATGAATGGCTGTTGCTGTGTCTCAATACGACTTCATTTATGAATGCTGAAATTTGAATTTCATATAATTTTCTCATGTCATGAAATACTCTTCTTTTCATTTTTTCCCAATTTTTTTAAAAAACATTCTTAGTCCACACGTCTTATGAAAACAGGCAGCAAACCAGATTTGGCCCAAGTTTGCATCCCTACTCTCTATCTTGGAATTACCAGTTCAAAGGGAAATCTCTGGAAGTGCCTGCTGCTGGTTCTCCCCTGCAATGTCAAGGTCAAAGGCACCATGGAAGGCAGTGTTTCCCAGAGGGAACGCAAGGGTACTGGTGGCCAGGACTTGACATGATTCCAGGTGACGAGCCACAAAGTAAGATTCTTTCGACCTTCCCATTTACTGCAAGAAGAGAGTCACGTATGTTTTTAACTCCTCCTAACACTTGCTAACCAATCTCTTCAAGGTAGTAAGATGGCCTCAGACCTGAGGAGTCCAGCTCCAGGCCAAAAGCCTAAGTGTGATCTTTCAGACTCAACCAAAGGCAATTACAAGGCTGTGTGGCAAGCCCCTGGGGGAAGCTGCCCTCCCCACATCGGACTTGGCGCACAAGTAGAGAGCTCTAGTTTTCTTGAGGGAGTCGAAGTAGAGGACTCAGGCCCCCATTTGGGCCCACCAAGCTCATACATATATCTGCATTCCCAGTCCAGGCACCTGCATTTGGAGGACTCCTGGCAGTGGTGGGGGTGGGGGGGTATTTTCCACTCCTCCCACCTTCCCTTTTCCTTCCCCGGCCCTTGGCCCATGGTCCATAAAGCTGCTGGAGCCTTTTGTCCCTGCCTCTGTGCTACATCCACTTGACCTTCGCCCAGGACCCTTTGGCAGAGATAAGTGGAACTAGGCAGAGAGGGTGGGGGTGGCGAGGGTGGAGTTGGCCACCAGGCAACACACTTAGCTTGAGCTGAATAATATAATTTTATTCTTATTGTATTATCTTCACCCTAACTCATTAACCTCTATCATGGCAAATGGCACAGGGTTTCTCTTTCTGATATGAAATTTCCTCCTTAAGTCAAATTGTTTAAAGAAAAAAAAATGAGTGATTTACTGTCTTGCAAATATTACATAAAGAGTGGGTAAAGTATAGTAATAGGGGACAAGCGGATATAGTGAGCTAGAGTGATGGAGGATGGGAAAAGTGTCTAACTCAGTGCTCTGGGGAATTATCTGGCCTTCAAAGGGACTGGTGATAGAAGCACCTGGACTGCTTCATGCTGATAAGCACATGTCTGCTGAATGGGGGCAAGAACACACTTACATCCCGTATTGCTTCATACAGCGCTTTGAAAGTTGGCTGTTTATCGTCATGGTAGACGCCTCGGTTCCCATGCAGAACAGACACACCTTCACGCTCAGCTTCTTTGCAGTTGCTTCCGTACATGCAGTGATCCGGACGGTAGTTCCACTGACAGGGGAACACATAGAGACACTCTAGTGGTGACAAGAGAAAGACATGTGTCCACAGTCAGTGCCGGCTCTCCTCTGCACGCCCGGTGATTAAACCAAGATTTGCATGAACTGCATACAGCACGTGATTTAAATGCACACGAGTGTGACGGTGACTCATAGACCAAATTTCACCACATTTGTCAATACTCTGAGATCAGGAACTGAAGGGGCACACATTAGGGATGTTGTAGGTTTCATCCTAAAAAGGAGGGCAGTACAGTGTCGGGGACAAGGAGGCAAACAAGGCAGCAGCAGCCTAGGTCCGAATCCCGTTCTTTCACTCAAAAACAGTGCACCCTAGGTCCAGCGACTCACCCTGCCTGTGCTTCAGTTCCCTGGACTGTAAGATGGGATATCAGGACTCCCCTCTTATCTTGATGATTAAAATTTTAAAAACACATGTAAAATGCTTAGCAGAGTGCCAAGCACACAGTGGTGGCCAATGGTGTTGGCAATTATAATCAACTCTCTGGAAAGGTTTTGTGAAATGGACAGTCTTGAAAAATAGGAGTCAAGATTGAAGCAAAGTTTCCTGTTTGGATCAAAAACCAACCAACCAACAAAAACAAAACAAGCAAAAATCTACAACAACAAAGGGAAAAAAACCCAAAGAAAAAAGTAAAACAAAAAAAGTCCCTGTGCCAAGGTGACTACTACATACACTGTGAGGGAGCGTGTGCACATGTGTACTTGTGTGTGTTTGCATCTCTTCCACAGTGGTTCTTAGCAGGGGCGATGTTACCCCTGCCCGGGGCCACTTGGCAATGTTTGGAGGGAGACGTTGGTTGTCCTCCATGGGGGAGGCTGCTACTGTCATCTGGTGGGTAGAGACCAGGGATGTTCTAAACATCCCACAATGAACGGGACAACTCACACAACAGCGTAGTGCCAAGCTTGAGAAACTCTGCTCTAATCCTGTTGGACTCAGAAAATTCCCTCTTGGTGACTAGGACTATTAAATTAGCAATAAGTTCATGACCCCTGAGCTTTCTGGCTCCTCACCTTGATGCCTTTAAGGGCCAGGGATAGAGCAGGGATCAAAGCTCTCTGCAAATGAGAAAGGCCCTGTGTGAGAGCACAGAAGGGTTCGAGCAAATGAATTACCGCTGTCAGAAAAATAACTCAGAGATGTACTTGTTGGTTGGGTTGATGGCACTCGCTTCTCATGGAAAGGACCATAGCTTAGAGGTTACTTACAGAAAGCTTCAAGATGCAAAGCCAAGGATGAAGAGATCATCATACATCCCCTCTGGCAGACCGTGTATAATATTTCTACTGCTCAGTCTTTACAGGTCACTGTGACATGCCAGCACCCTCTATCAAATTCTAATTGTTCACAACACACAATGAAATTTTCCTTTTCTTGGGGGAACTCCATTCCACCATGATGTTTCTCTTACTTGCATTCATCTCTACACTTGCACATACGTAATCCATAGCTGGGACAGAGCAGCGCTCATCCTGAAGTCACACTATCTAGACTGGAAGCCCCACTCCTCTACTGGCCATGTGACTTTTCTGCCCATAAGTGCAGAGGGTGGATGTGAGGATTATATGAGTGAAAATATCTAAAAGTGCTATTGTACTGTGCCTGACCCCAGTCCAGTTGCTGCCTTCTGTAACTCCATGGGTCACATCACTCATTTACGACACCTGCCTGGGCATCTGCATTTGCAGTCCTGGCTTAAGCACCTGTTAATGTTCCCTGTTGAATGAACTGCTGGAGAAACCATCTCTGTTTTTGTAAACACACTGATTTTGTAAATCAACAAATATTGATTGAGTGCCTGTAGACAAAGCAAAGCCTGGTTCCTGCCTTCATGGAGTTTAAGATTGGTGATGAAGGCTGTTGCCCCTTCCCGGGTCGTGTAGGACCCCCTTACAAAAGGAAACATTTTTTTCTCTTTGCAGCCTCCTTAGAGGACTGAGTCCAGCGAGGCACTCTAAGGCAGAAGATGAAATAGAAAGGCTTTGGAATCAGAAAGACGTAGGTTCAAAGTTAGCCTCTATCATCTCCTAGTGCTGTAATCTTGGTGAGTTACTGAAACCTTTGACCTCAATTTAGAAGCACTAAAGAGAAGCTAAATTACCCAGGTTTGAAGCCCAGCTTTACCACGTGTTAGCCATGACCTAACAGCAGAATGACTAAGAGAGCAAGCTCTGGAGTCACCTCGCTGGGTGTGAATACAGAACTCTGCCATAGTTGCATGAGCTCAAGCAAATTACATAATTTTTCTGGGCCTCAGTTTCAACATCTGTAAGAGGGAAGAGAATTGTAAATATCACTTATCCAATAGGATTTCGGGCAGTGTTAAATGAGATCATATACGCAAGTCCTTGGAACAGTGCCTGGCGCACAGAAAGCACACAATAAACGTAAGCTGTAACGATTGCTATTACCATTGTTATTGTTATAACAAGGATTACTGCATGAGGTTGTTGGAAGGGTAAAACAAGATAACTTAAATTGAACAAGGCTAGCATAGTTCCTGACACATAGTACACTAGTGATAAATGTTTTACTCCAATGCCTTCTAGACACGCAGGTGGCCAGTCATTCTTAACCTTTTATGGGTCACAGATCTCTCTGAGAATCTAATGAAAGCTTGAGACCCTGTCTTTGGAAAATTCAGCTGGGAGTATTCGCTTACAAGTTTTGGGGTTTATAGATAAGATCAGCTAAGAACCCCAGCTGTTGAACGTCAAACGTGAAATTGGATTCCAGACAGAATTCAATTCATATCTTTATACTCCCTTCAGAATTTTCCAGAGGAAGAAATGCAAAATACATCGAGCATATAATTGAAACAAGTGTTTGTTCACCATACTATTGCAAGGCATTGGTGTCACTGGATGAAAAGATGCTGCTCCTGCCGTCAGGGAATTTATACTCTTGTAAGAGAGGATATATTGTTGTCACACTGAACATGTTTTATCAGCATTCATAGAAAGGAGGGCATTTTGGTAAAGTTTCACTGAAACTCAGACTTAGAGTAAGGATGGATTTTGACAGTGAGACACAGAGGCCTGGAAGAGCATTCACGGAAGAAAAAATGGCCTGATCACGGTGAAATGTTTGGAAATCAGAGTGTGTTTTAGGAAAGATAAGCCATTTAATTTTGCTGGGGCAAATTCGATCTCTTCAAAAGGGTAAGATAATGGTAAAAAGCTCTTATGTAAATAGACTGCTTTGATCTAAAATATTCAAAAAATGTAAATCTATATTAGGTTGCACATAACCAACTTTGATTCTAGCTTGTGAAGCTAAAAAAAAAAAAAGAATTTTTTCTTCGGAAAAAGATGGGGTGGCTCATCAAGCCAGAAGTAAAGCTGAACTGGGGCAGGAAGTGGGGCAGCTCGTGCGATCTGTGGGGTGAGGACTCAGTCTTTCAACTTTGCTGCTATGATCAACCAGCCTTACTGTCTCTTCTTGGATTCCCAGCCTGAGGTTCCCAGGAGATGTCTGACTGGTTTAGCAGGAGGCAGAGGTGGGCAGGGCTCTAAGACTGCATGCAAGGGAGGGGAAGAGTAATTCCCCTGAGAAAATGGGAGCGCTGTGGCCAAAAAAAAAGGGAAATCAAGAGTGGGCAGTTAAAATGACAGATGTGTTAGCATGGGTCACACTTTGATATCTCCGTTTGCTTAATAAGGGAAGGAGGAGAAGGAGAGAGGCTAACCTAGCATCACGGGGTGAGCTTAGGTTGGAAAAACCTGTGTGGATCAGCTGATGAACATGTAGCATGGACTAATGATGGTTACCTGGCACAGGATCAAAACCTATTCCAAAATGGATCTATTTTAAGCAAGATTATCAGGGCTGTCAAAATCTGACGTTTAAAAATGATAGCATGGTGAAACATTCAGGTTATTTTCCCACTGCTGAGGAATTAATACAGTCAATGGTTCTAAAATTCCTGGTCCCTAAAGCCTCAAACCAATGCAATTTATTAAAAAGCTTTTTTCCAAGCCAATCTCTCTTCAAACCCTGGGTCTTTGCTACTTTTCTCTCAGTTTTACATAGATAAGGAAGGTCATTAACTGATTATCTACAGTCTGAAATCCCTTAGTGATTCTTTCTGGAGTCTACATTTATTTCCAGAGCTTTCTAACTGTTGGTAAAGCACTGTGTGAACTGATTGCTCCTTACATTTCTGATAATTTCATACTCTTGAGGTCTCTAAGATTATGGAATAGCTCATGTCTGATTATTTTAACTTCATGGAGAAACAGGCTTGCTACTCCTTCGGCACACTGTATCAACAGAACGGAAGGTGTTTGATGGCACTATCAATAGTTTTTGTTTCTTTTGTTTTTATAATGTCTCATTCTGGAGCTGAGCTTTCCCAGCTTCTTTCTTCCTCCAGAAATGCACCTGGTTCCAGAAAAGGGCAATGAATTCTTCCAAAAAGACTTACTTCCCTGATCCCACAGTCTAAAGAAGCAATCCCCTCCCTCCAGCCTTGACAGTTTCTTTCTCAACTCATTTGTTTCCTTCTCAGCATTTATCGCATTTTCTGATTTTGAACGGCTAGTTGCTATTCTTTGGAAGTCTACCTTTTCCGAAAAAAGGGAGGCTTCATGAAAATACGACTTCTGCCTGTTCTGTCTGCTGCCATATCCCCAGTGCCTAGCCCCGTGGCTGGCACGTGACAGGTGCTAAAAAATATCTGCTGAATGAAGGAGTGAATGAACCCTTCTACCCTCCTCCACCAGGTGCATCTTTCTCCTTTCTCTTGCTTTTTCCCTCCACTTCCCTGTCCTCTCCCCTTCCTTGCGGTGGTATTTCTCTTCTACTTACTTCCTCTTTCACTCCGTTCTCTTAATTCCATTCATTCAAACAACCAATGCTTCTGAAGACGAACTCCATTTAGGACACCTGGCCTCGCACTGTAAGCGCTCAATGGAAGACATCACATAGACACACTCCTTCTCACAAGGAACCTACAATCTTCATTCTTGCACTTTACATCAGAGCTCACAAACCTCCAAGACTCCCAAAGAAGCGATTTGTCACAGTTTTCTAGAACAGTCCTAACACCAAACACCTGGGCCTGTCAACCCCACGACATGCTCATAACTGTCAGTTGCTGGGTGCTTTTGGTGGAGTGAGTATATAACGTGGTTGCACGCTCAAGGGCAGAGCTCCAGTGATCCCGGGCAGGATGAGAACAAGGCTCTGATGGGGCCACTGGAGAGGCTTGTTCCATGTGACTATGTGTCCTGCTCCCTGTGGCCCCAGCAAACCCTCCTGACTCCCTAGTGCCATGTTCAACTCACAGACGATCTATGGATATTCCATGGGCATTTCAGCTCTTCTCTCCCCGGGGTCAGAACCCTACTGCTTCTACTCTGGCTGGATGCCCCGTCTTATCATTTATACTTGGCTGGTTTCATTTCCTTCCCTGCCCACAGCCCACTCTTCTAGAAATTGCCCCTGAAGAAGAGACAGACCCAGGCGGTCATGTTTGAGAGAGGAAAATGCCACACGACCTTACTCCTCTGACCCCTGCTGACCAGATAGCGGGTGGTCTCGGTATCCAAAGAGAAGTGATTCATAGCTGGGCTGGGAATCAATTCACAGGCTGGGCCAGGCCAGCCCAGGCCAGGCCAGGCCAATCTCTCTCTTGTTTTCTTCAAGAATTTTAATTAGGAAACATAGGAAACCTATCAGCATTGCTATGAGCTTGTAAGGTTGTGCTGACCTGGGGTTGGGCCATGTGCAAACAGAGAATGCTGTCTGAGAGAGAGAACGGAATCAGATGGCCATGGAGAGAAACAAAGATGACAGAGACCACGGGGCCTCTGGCAGATGGAGAAATCAGCTTTGGTACTTAGCAGCTTCCCAGTGCTAGTTCTCACGAGGTCTGGCATGATCCGATCCATGTGTCCAGGGTACTGCCCCCTGGTCCCTTACCTAGCTGTCTGAGTGGAGTTCTATTCCCTGCCACCTACGCACACTAACGAAAGCACATCTTCCTACACAGGGTTCTCTTTGGCCCTTGTCAAATTTACCCTTTCTACAGCGCTGTTCTCTTGACTCAAACTCGCCTGTAAAGATGTGAGCTCAGTCTTCCAGCCCTTGAAGAAGCTGCCTTGGCTCACCTGCCAGGAAATGTCCTGTGGGATGAGCTACCTGCATGCTCCCCATGGGCTTTCGCTGTCTCCACTTAAGTCAGTCTATTACCCAGTACTGCAATTACACACCCACAGGCATTTACTACCTAATTATAGCAAGAGTTTGAAAACACTTTTTAGCTAATGACTTTTAAACACATTTTAAATAGCAGTGTTACTGGCTATCGAAGGCTACAAAAATAGCAACATTCCAGACATGTGCTCAGATTTTATGTGCATTGCTTCACCCATGGCGACCCAAAGGACCATAACAACAAGCACGTTTGTCTCTTGTGGCCGGGCCAATCTTCTCTCCCTCTCTCCTTTCCGGGGATAAAAGTGACAAATCTTTTTTTCACATACAGTTTGTTCTGGTTTATGGAAAGTGCTTACAATCAATATAAACAAAGAGAAAGCTAACAGTGGGATGGGTATCCCCAGATTTCAGTTCAAAGGTCTCACGTTTAATAAAGTATGAAACAGGGAAATGCAGGCCACACGAGGAACAATCACAGAGTTACCTAATCCTCACAGATGGAAAGCTGGCGAACTCGATTATTTACTTGATACTGCTCAGAACCAGCATTTAGAACAACTTCATAATTATTTTATAATATTCTTGTACCCAGTGGATCTAAGACGGGGGAGTGTCGAAGGTGTTAAACTCAGCTGGTTTTCAGCTCCAATTAAAGACAAGGGGCTTGTGTCTAACTGCAAAGCTGCCATGACTGCCTTCGAGGATTATTTACCTACTGATCACGTCCTCAAATAATCTGCGACAGGCTAAGAGGATTTCTGGGGAGGCAACCGTGTGAATCTTTTGAATTCCTCAGTTTGGGAATACGGATACATAAGCTTATGGAAGATAGTTTTAGCCAAAAGGACAGAAATATACACAGCAGAGAGAGACATTTTGGGACATCTGCCCAGCTCTCTAGGATCCCCCGTCTCTGAGAACTTCCCCTCTCCCCCAAATACACGGGGCTGGAGTTGGAGAGGCCTGGGTTAGTACTCCTGCCCTGGCATTCACTAGGTGTGCTGCAAATTATTTAACTCTCTTTCCTTTGGTAGCTTTGTCTGTAAAATGGGGATTATATTCTCAGGGTTATTGTGAAGACTAAATAAAATAATGCTTAGAACAGCATCTGGCTCTTAGTAAGTAATAAATGTCAGCCATTATTCCTCAGCTTCATGCTCATGGCCGAGCTGACCCACGCTGGAACCATATGATTTCTCCCCTTGGAATCTGGAACTGGGATGAAGTTAGTCTTTCTGAGCGGCTGGACCTGGAGTATGAAACCTTAGTCCTTTGCTTTGAGGCCTGAGGAGCAGAGAATGAGTCTACAAAGAGAAGGAAAAACAGCCTCAATGGGAGAAAGAAAGTCCAACCTGGGCTCCCCATCGTTTTCCTTTTCTGTTTCAGGTCCTGGGCAGAGCCCGCTGGCCTCTCTACCTTGGTTTCTATGGGACACCAGTTTGCTCATAAAAAAGTATCCTTGGTGCTTCAACTAACTCCATGGGTCTTTTATTTGCAGCCAAGAGTCCTAACTAATACATCTACACCTAGAAAAAAGATGAAATCCGCTTAAGAAGGAAAAGGAGGGGGAAAACAGACTTTAAATTTCCTGTTGCTATCAGGGTGAAATGGATTAAAACACGCCACGAGTCAATGGCCAAGACATTCCCTTCACCTAATGAATTACTATTGGGAATCTTTCCCAGAAACTCTGTTTATCAACCTGCTTTTTTTCTTTTCCAGGATTTGTTTCTTTTTGATCCAAAGGCGTAGGAGATTAGGTTTTATTTCAGAATTTTGTTAAAAAACAAATAAAGGTATATAGGGGGTGCTTCCAGGGTAACATGAAATCATAGGCAGAAGTCTTTAAACAGGAGTCTCTATTTCAGGATTTTTCACAGACAAAAGAAAGGCCTGAGTAGGTGGGGGTAAGCAGTGATTTTTTTTTCCCCAAAGATCTTTCTCAAGGAGAAAACATGGTTTTGATTTTAACAACACAAAATAAGGTTTTAGCAAAGAAGAAAGACAAGGACATTTTATTAGCTTTAGGTGTCAATCTAAAAACACAGACCAGAAATTTCCATCATCCTTTCTCCCTCAGCCCCACCAAATCATTGACTTAACAATCTAAGAAGAATTTCTCTTGCCCCAGATGAAAAGAAAAAGGCACTGGGGAATCCAAGTCCTTAATCTAGGCTTTTAACCCTGAACAAGTCACTTACTTAACTACAAGGATCCCAAGAATCAATTGCCTTCAATCTAGCCATTGTTCAGGCGCTGGAGGGCCTCGTGCCTAGATTATAATGTTTTCATTTAGTTCTGTGCCTCCCATTAATTTTGACTGTACTTCTTAGAAGAGTGGTGCAGCAAAATCGAAACGATATTCTTGAAAAATGGAATCCAGTGTTGGAGGTTTCAACATTTGGTCTTTTGTGTCAGCAGCACAAGGACCCACCCCCGTGAAATACCCAGGGGGGCGGATGAAAGGGCCCACTTCCCCGGGGAACACAGGCGCAATGCAAGCCTCTCAGTAGCTGGAATGTGCTCTGCGGGGTGAGGTGGGCGTCCTCCCACACATACAGCATTCTTGAAAGAGAACCTACCTGGATTGAAATAAAAAATAATATTTAATAAGTCCTGGTCTCCCCACGTGATGGCATTCTTGTACTTCTGGTACAGAGGGTACAACATGTCTTCCCACGCCAAGCCTGTTGGAATCATGCTGTTCTGGAAAAGAGAAAACCATCAGAGCAGCTGAGGCAAAGCAAATACATCTTGTCTGCTGAGAAACAATGGAGAGAGACTGGTTTTCCCCACCTGCCAGGAGTGAAGCAAAGAAAGGAAGGGTCCTGCTGGCTGCAAGGCAGAGGACAAAGCCAAACTAGGACTGTCGATCGCAGGGTTTTGCCAGATGCACACACAGATACTAAATGGACCAGGAACTGATCCTCAGAAAACCATGCCCCCAATTCCACCTCTTTCTTATGCTTAATTCTTGCCTCTGAAGTGAAGGAACAAAATACAGAGAGCAGAATTAAGGCATCTGAAGGAAAAAAACCCTTTCTTTGTTTTAAAGTAATTATTTGCTTTTAAAATAAAAGCAACACCTTCACAGACTACTCAAACAGCATACAAAGATCTAAAATACAAAAGTAAAAGTACTCTTCCTCCATCCTCCTACAATACCCACTCCCACTTGCCCTAGAAGCATCCACAATGAACATTTCATGGCCTGTTAGGTATTTTTCTGGAAATTTCTAAGGCATAAAAGGGAACGAATACACTCTACAGTATCATGCTTTGTTGCATTTTAATTTTTTCACTTAATTTTCTTTAGAGATCTTGCTTATCTCACTCATAGATGTACCTAATTCTTTTAAATAGGAAGATAATCTTTTTTTTGACTAGTTGTCTACTGATGTTCATTTAGATTCTTTCCAATTCTCTGCCAGGATAAAAGATGAGGCCATGAACAGCCTTGTACAAACATCTCTGTGTACTTGTGTAAATATATTCCTAGGGTAATTCCAAGAAATTTTCCATGGTTTTTCAAGTCTTTGATACACACAGCGTTCGAACGTTATGGAATTCACAAATGCAACATAACATTCCCAAATAGGAGCTCTATTGAAACTTAAAATTCCATAAGCACCTGGGCTCTTCCTGAACAAACAAATATTCCAGAATTTTCCAAATACTTTTTTCTTCCCTGGCTTTTTCTATCCTCACCTATAAGCCACCTACTTCCAAAATCAGCACAGTGACAGTCTTGGAATGTCACTGTTGAAAAGACAAAGTCTCGATTTTTAAACAAGGAAATATAAAATACTTCCTTACCTTGAACTGGGCACTTCTTATACGAGTTAAATTCATCAGCATGACTCCGGAATTAAGTCCCGTGGAGCCATAGAAAGGGTGCCGAGCAAAGCGGCTGTACCAGCCAATCTTGGGGATTTCATGCTCGGGGGCCATGGCTGCAAGCTGGGTGGAATTAAATTGCCTCAGAAGCTTCCAGATGTCATCCACAGGTCTCAGAAAGAGAACATCGGTGTCCACATAGAGAAGGGAGTCCACATCCTTTAAAATCACCTTTGTGTGTATTGGGGGAGGAGGAAGAAAACAAGAGCAAGTCAGAAACTAAGAAAATGGTCTGATGTCTTGACGATGCCATTGCTTAATGTTGAATTATAGAAAGGGGGCCACTCTTAGCTCCCATTTCAACTTTCTCCTCCTTTAACTTGACGGATAGGTGTCAATCAAGGGGTCGAGACTCACAGGAAGATAAATCTTGATCCAGATCAGCCCAAATCCAGGACCTGGACTGTATTTGGCAAGGGTAGACCTTTCAGACAAATGAAAATCTCACAAATTGCTGTGGCTCTCTCTTCTACTCTCATCCTCCACCAAGGCCATCTGTCTGTCTTTCTCAGTTTTTTCTTGGAACATCTAGGTCTGGCGTTAGACAACTTGAAGTGGACAATCTTTAGGCCAGCTGATGCCAGGCCTCGGGGTAAATACTGTCTGTGGATCCATTTCTTCTAGTGTTGATGGCTATGGCTCTGCATCTTTTTGACATGATACTTTCAGCTAAAATTTGGACTTGGGAATAGGCAAAGCAAGTCACTGGTCAGCTTTGCTTGCAGATCAAGGATTGGCAAACTGTTCCTCTAAAGGGCCAGATAGTAAATATTTTAGGCTGTGTTGCAACTACTCAACTCTGCTGTTGTAGCATGAAAGCAGCCAGCGACAATATATAAACAAATGGATGAAACTATGTTTCAATAAAACTTTATTTAGGGACTGAAATTTGAATTTCATCTAATTTTCAGACGTCATAAAGTCTTCTTTTGATTTTTTTCAAACATATGAAATGTAAAAGCCATTCTTAGCCCGTGGGCTGTGGTTTGCTGACCTCTGTTGTAGGTCATTCAATCCAGCCACCTTAAGTAAATGAGTTCCCCTGTGCTAACTGCTTAGCTCACCAGAATTTTGCCCTGGGGTTTGAGACTTCAAAGCCTTAATTAGAAATAGTGTTATTAGCCGTGTTTTGCCATTGTTCCCCAAATTTAGGGGCAGCTTAACCAAGGAAAGATTTGAATTTTCCTGGATCCCTTGTATAATATCATCCTAACACCATAACAACACTTGTTAGGGCCTAAACATCTGTGTCTTTCCAAAATTCATATGTTGAAGCCCCATCCCCAATGTGATGGTATTTGGAGATGGGTGCTTTGGGAGGTAATTAGGGTAAGATGAGGTCACGAGGGTGGAGCCCTTGTGATGGGACTATGCCCTTATAAGAGACATCAGAGACTTGGCTGTTCCAAGAAGAAATTAAGAGAGAAAGATAGATGGCCTGACTGGAGGACACAAGAGAGAGCCACAGTAATTAGCTGATGTTTTTATTCTTTTGAAAGTTCATCCTCTACCAGAGAGCTTACTTTCTCTCTCTTTACCATGGGAGAACACAACAAGCAGGCAGCTGTCTGCAAGCCAGGAGGAGGGCTCTCCCCAGAACCCGACCATGCCGACATCTTGATCTCAGACTTCCAGCCTCCAGAACTATGAGAAAATACATACTGGGTGCTGTTTACGCCACTCAGTCTACGGTATTTTATGACAAGCTGACAGAGACAACACTCCATTGGGATCCCCAATAGCTGAGATTGATGAACACGGCACTATAAGATACACGTATCACAAAAATTTCAGTCTTGAATAATTGCAAAGCTGACATGATTAGCAGCGGGATCTATCTTTCCTTCTTCATATACCAGAGGAAGAGATTTTATAAACCAATAAAATGAAATTCAAAATAATGATCATCCACCATTTCATAAAAGAAGATTATCTTGACATCCATCTTAAAAACCTGATCCTAATTTCAGAATTAGGATGAATTCTTTAAGTTGAATACACAAACTTTAAAAAAATCTCCCATATTATCCTCACTTTTTCTTCTTATTTTGCCATGGAAGGGTAAAAACTTTGCTATAGATTAGCACCAGACTGCTGACTTTTTCTTTTTTTAAATCTCAACTCCAGAGTACTGTGGAAGAAAGGCAAACTCTCTACAGAAGTATTAGTAAGTGCATGTTATGATATCAATTATGTATCACATGTAAATACAGCTATGATGTGCTGCACACCCAAGACCATCCCAAGGACTCAAGGTCCTGTCAATCTTATTTCACTGGGAAGGAAAACTAACACACAAAAAAGTGTTCTGTCCAAGTTAATGTGTCAGATAATGCTAATGATTGCTGGATTTGGGCTAATAAGGTTACAGCAAGGTAAAGTCACTTTTTGGAATGTGTTTAAGAGAATAAGAGACTGCATGGTATTCCAATAAAAAGCTAATTTAGAATTACAGAATCAGAGGGGAAGAGAAAGCTATTTCAACCCATAAGAAATGGAATAAATTTCTCTTTATGGCTGATAAGCTAATAAAGCCTGAATAAAAGCATATGACATTAATGTTTTAATCAATTAAGGGTTATGCAGACATCTAACCCCAAAATTTAAGCTCACTGACTTGATTTTTTTTCTTGGTCTTAAATCATTATTATAGTTAAAGTTATCATTATTTTCTTCAATAAAATAAATATGTCACTACCCCTCATCGAAACAAAAGAGAAAACAAAAAAACTTGAAGGTCTGGAAAAGGAAAACTAAAAAAAATGTGACGGATGGCGGTATTCCACCATGAAGCTACAGGCAGTATTTTTAATCTGGAGAGACAAAGACGAAAAAGTTGCATCAGAAATCTATAAAATCAGAGTAATCTTAAATAGGGTAAAATTTTTATTTAAGTAACACCCTACTATTTGACATGTAGATTGCTCCCACTTTTTTTACATAAACAACACTACCCTGGGTGTATTTTTAGGGAAAATTTTAGGCATATAATGTGGCATTTCTTTCCTTTGAACTTAGCACATGTTTACATGGTTCAAAAATAAAACGATATTAAAGTAAATTCATTGACAGCTATTCCTCCCTGTCCTTCTGTCACCAGGTCCCCTCCTTAGACGTAACCAACGTTATTGGATTGCTCTGTGTGGTGCACAGACATTTTATGCATGTAACAAAAATAGCCATGCAGATACAATTCCCTCTTTTATGCTACAAATGGTAGCATGGCACACACGATACCATCAGCCTGCTTGTCCTTGTTTAAACAAGACAACAAATGTAGGAGGGCTTTCCATATCAGTCAGAGAGATTTGATTTATTATTTTTTATGTCTGTATAGAATCCTGTTGTATGGATCTAGCATAATTTATCTAGTCACCTATGGTAGAGCATTTAGGTTCTTCTCAAGTTTTTGTTATTACAAGCAATGTCACAATGAAAAACCTCCTCGTCTTAATTCATTTCAAATACATACGAGCGTCTCTGTAGGAGAAACTTATTAAAATATAATTCCTTAGTCAAAGAATACATGCATGTGTAAATTTGATAGATATTGCCAAACTACCTCCCTAAAAGTGGACCAATTTAGGCTTCCACCAGCAATGTGAGAGGGTGCCTCTCCCCCTCGTCTTCTCTGTATGATCAGACTTCAGGGTTCTGGTCTACAAGGAGGCACACCTCAGAGGGTCCTGGTCTAACAACTCAGTTTAGTTCCTAATTTCCTACCAGTCTTGCTCTGGTGGGCTGGTCTGGGGTCCAGCACTGTGGCAGGAGGTGCCGCAAGTCTGGAAGACAAGCCAGGAGATTTGCAGAACTCTTGAATAACAATGCTGGTTCCCACCAGATGCAAACACGCAGGCTCAGAACCGAGTCCTCATGGGTGGGAGGCCCTCCACACAGTCCTTCTCCAGAACCATGCCTCATCCCTGCTCTGATGAGCTTTGATGCTGGAGACACACTTTTTGGACTAGGTCTGAGGGACAAGGAAGAAAAACTTACCAATAAATTTATGGCTACAGCTTTTGGTAAACTTGCGAGTCTTCACCTAAGATGGCAAGTCCATTTCAGCCTAAACTAGAGACTGCAAACTACAGCCTGTGGGTCAAATGCAGCCCCTGTGGATTTTTAAAAAATACATAGCCTTTTTAAAAAATTTGTATTCGTGGCCTTTTTTTTCTTTCTTTTTTTTTTGCTGAGGAAGATTAGCCCTGAGCTAACATCTGTTCCAATCTTCCTTTATTTTTTATGTGGGACACTGCCACAGCATGGCTGACAAGTGGTGTAAGTCCGTGCCTGGGATCTGAATCCAAAAACCCAGGCCACCGAAGCGGAACATACCAAACAACCACTAGGCCACAGGGCCAGCCCCAAGTTGCCAACATTTTTTAAAAACTGGAGATTTCTCAAAAGTATCTGAATTTCTGTCTTCTTTTGAAAAAATCTATAGCTCAGGCAAGAACAGCCTGAATCCTACAAGGGAAAAATCTGCTAGCGCTTAGCCACAGGCACCCCCTGTGTTCTCTGTTCATTCAGATAATTAACACTTACGGAGGGTCCACCAGGTACCAAGTGTGAACAGCAGTGACCAAGACAGACAAAAACCTCTGTCATCATGAGAGAGCTGGATAACAAACAAGATAAATATAGCAATTATATAAGATATAAGCAGGTGGAAAATAAAGCAGAAAAAAGGGCCAGGGTTTCGGGTCTGGAGGAGTTTGCAATTTTAAATGCGGCCGTTGGGAAGGTCTCACTCAGAAGGAGATGAGCAAGAAGAGCAGGGGGCTGCTGCGGCTGGAGCACACTGAGCAATGGGAAGAAGAGTTCGAGGAGAGGATGGACGGGTAAAAGTGAGCCGGTCCCTTTGGGCTTTGTTTGTCCTCGGAAGAACTTCAGCTTGTACTCTGAGATGGGAGCCACTGGCGAGCTTTCGACAGAGGAGTGACACGATCCGACTTCACTGAAATGGCCACTGTGGAGGCTGCGCTGACAGCAGACAATTGGGGAGCACAAGGGAAGCGGGCCAACCAATTAGGATGCTATTTTAATAACTCAGGTGAGATGCAATGGTAGCTTGGCCCAGGTGGTAACAACCCAGGGAGTGAGCGGTTGAATCCTAAACATAGTTTGAAGATAGAGCCAATAGGATATCCTGACAGAGGGGATGTGGAATA